GTCAGTGAGAAATTCTCCAGTGTGACCAAACCAAATGACTTGTGCTTCAGTGTTGTTTGCTGTTGTTAAAAGCAAAGTTCAGACTAACTAATCTGAGATAGACACACTTTGCCCATCTTCTTTCTAAGATAAAGGACAGAGGGTCTTCATCCTGCAGTTTTATTTTTTGTGGGTTATATTTTTATTAAAAAAAAAGGCTACTTCATTCATGGCTAGGAGGAACTGTCCTTGGAGAAGGACATCCTTCTTAGAAGGGTGGAGGAACAGCACAAGAGAGAAAGACCCTGGATGAGATGGACTGACACAGTAACTGAGGTAATGAGGGTAGGTGTGTCAGAAACAGTGAGATTGACTCAGGATAGAGCAGGGTTTAGGGTTCAGAGCTATTGTACATAGGGTAACCATGAGTCATGGCTGACTTGATGGCACATAACAGCAACATTTTATTCAGGCTTAACTAACTTCTCACCATAACAATTTAACTGTCATGGTTTGTGTGTAAACAATCATGGTAATTTTGAGAATACTTACAAGCAGTGAGTAACCAGAGGCAACTAAAATCCCATTTGAATGAGAATGCAACAGTAACAGGAAATAAGTTCTTGAAGACAGTTCTGAAAATTCTGTCTTATTATATGATAGAAAAGGAGAAAGCTTGGCCCAACAATATTCAAATCGGCCAATTTTAAAAAACAAATTAACAAACATCTTGTACTTCTCCTTACCTGTCATACTAAAACTACAGTTGTGTCCCTTAAGATTCCCAATGTCCAAGGTTCAGCATTTCCTTAATGTCTATGTGTCAGTTATGTTAACATTAAGGTTCAGAGGTAGATTTCCCTTCTTTCTTGCAAATGATGTAGGTTTAATTCCCAGATGATGCACTTCATACAGTTACCACTTTTTTGTCAATGGAGGGTTTTGTGATGCTCCGATGCAGCTTCCAGAGTCAGAGAGACGAGGAAGAAAGGACTGGCAATCTATAGTCTAAAACTATTCTGTGAAAACTCAATGGGACACCCCAGGCCCAGACTGTTATCTGAAGGATCACCATGAGTAGGGGCTGATGGTACCTTAACAGGAACCAATCCTGAAGGATGCTGATCTCCTTCTGGGAACAGGGGCTGGCTGTGGGGCTGTAAGTAAATTCATTGCCATTAGACTGGCCTACAAGCAACTCAGTCTGTGCAATGGTTAAGCACTGGGATACTAACCAAAAGGTTGGTAGTTCAAACCAACCCATTAACTTTGTCAATCGTCTGCACTGTCAAGTTGGAACCAATTCATGGCTGACACTAAAGCAGGTTTTCAGTGGCTGAAAAAGTGCATGGGAGGAAACTGGCTGTAATTCTCCTTCAAAGCAGCAAGTGAACTTGAACTGCCTGCCTTTGAGATGGAAAGCCTTATCACTCAGCCACCAGAGCTCCCCAGTAGCTCTGCAGCCTAGGAAAACTTCCAGAGCAGTTTTATTCTGCCATACAAGGTCTCTATGAGTTGGAATTGACTCAGTGGCATTCAACAACAGACTGAACTATGTTGGCAATAACATAACAAGATGTTTTGGTTTGTTTTTTTTTTTAAATCAAACCCTCAGAAATCTGTTTAATACCAACATGCCAGGTGTGCAATCATTCCTGGAATTGACATAAAAAATAGTTATTGAAGGCATTGAGCAACGCAGTGTATTAGACCTAGGTGATTTGGTCTCCTATGGAATGATGAAAATATGTGATAATTAGACTTCGATAGTGGATACATAACTCTTAAATATACAAATAATTGTTTTAGTGATACATTTTATGGTCCATAAATTGTAACCCAGTAAAATGTTAAAGATGGTTTATCTATATATCTAATAAAAAACAGGATCAGACATATTTTCTTTTCCTAGGAAGTCGTGAAACAACGATTTGCTTTTTGATAAATTTTCATCTCATTTGAAATATATGTTCAAAGCCAGTATCTCTGAAAATCAGCCCGAGATATCCAAATGATGACAATTATTCATTGATACTTGTCTCTCATCAGCAGCAAAGGGGGCAAGAGTCACCTTGCCCCCAAGTTGTTCCCTGGAGATGAGGGGACATGGTAAGGCACGTCAGTTCTCTCATGGAACCACCTCTAAACTGAATGGTCTCGCAGAGATCTTAACCACCAACCAGGGAGAAAAGTCATAAAAGTAACTATTAAATATAAAATCGTTAAATCTTCCTTATCTTCCGTCTCTCTCCCTTCCCATAGGGAGGTAATAAAACACTTAGAGAATTTTAAAAACAAGTGGAAAACTAGGAAATAACAAAAAAAATACATTAAAAAAATAGTCACAGAGGCTGTTTTCTTTTTACTTTATAAACCACACTGCAGCTCCATTAGTTACGCATGGTCAAAGGCAGGCGGGTAAATGACAAGTCTCAGCCATCTGACCTATAAAAGTGTAGACTAGAGAAGATCGTGACTTTCTATAAACACACTAAGGTTGAAATCAATGGCCATAGCCCCAGAACAATTATAAGCGTCCTGTGGACTCTTCAAGCCCTTTCCTGATTGGAATAAGGAATAACTGTACACTTACTGGGAGACAGGGTTGTGCTAGGCTGTCTGCTGTGTGGCACGAGTCAGTTTTACCTCATGCTACCAACTGATTATTGGCTGGAGAAAGGTCTCAAGACTATGACCCACCAGCCAGGATGTGCACCCAGAGCCCAAGGAAGGAATTGCGAGACTAGAAAGTCCACGAGTACACACCTTAGGATCATCTGAAGACTACTCTTGCTTTATTCTTTCGAGTCTTGTCTGCCCCTTGCTCTTGGAAATTCTGATATATATGCCTGACTAATATAGCCTGATCTCATCTATTTGTTTTACGGGATGAACAGGAGGTAAAGAATCATCCTGTGGTGACTTGCTTAAGTTAACTTGGATGGAGCTGCAAAACCACACAAGATCTCATTCTCTCAAACTCTAGTGCCTGCCTGGACTTTAGGCTCTCAAGGCTCAAACTCAGGTCATGCTGATATAAATGATACCTTTTTTCAGCAGTTTTTCTCATCAAGTTCCATATTTCCCTATCCATTGTCTACCCACTTGAAAACCAGGCCCTCCACTGGGCTGAGCCTGGCCTCTATGTTTTCTTGCCCAAATATTTTTGTTTCAGGGATAGTGTTTGAGCTGTGTGTCTATTAATGAGGCAGGGGCAGGGCAGCTGAAACTGGACAGCATAACAAGGGGCTTTTTAAATGTAAGGATACTTTTATAGAAATGGTCACACAAAAAAGTAGTTGGCCTCTATATAAATAAAGGGCTATCCCCAAAAAATAGCTTTCTAGAAAAGAGAAACATTCCTAATGTATATAATATTCTTTCAGTGAGAACTAAGAATTCTATTTCAAATAATTTTACGAGACATGTTCTTGACCCATTTGAAAATCTAACTGCTTAGTCAAAAGTAGCTTGATCTTTTAAGGCCTTCCCTCCAGCGTCAACATACTAGATACCTCTGATTATCCAACTTTAAAGCTGCTTGTTCATTTCAGTTTAATCAACTGTGAAAGCAACAGACTGATACAGTTGGTATAAATGTGGCATTTCTGTGACAACACAAGAAGCCCATGAGAAATCACTGCCGAAAATTAATGCCACATAGTGGCTTGTGTAAACAGCCAGAACTCCTACCTCTAGGTCACCTTTGAAATGGCATGTGGCTCTGCCAAAACAATAGGATAATATCTCATTTGGCTCAGAAAAATAGACTTCAACGCTAAATGTACTGAACAATGGCTTTCTTTTATCCATCACCCCACTGTTCCTATTATACCCAGTCCTCCGTGCCCCAGGCATAACTGGGGGAGGGAAGTAACAAATATACACAAATACAAAGACTCATAACCGTTTTGCTGTTTAATCTGTTTAAGACCAGGGATTTTGAGGTTAATGCACAGCTGCCATGCAATCTTGCTTTAACAATAAAGAAGTTCTTTAAAATTTCAGTGTCTGAGGATCATGTGAGTGATACGATGTGAATGGTAACTAAAGCAGTATCTGAGCAGAGGGGTATCAGATAAGGGCTCCCCTCAGGTGTTCAGTGACATTCTCCAGTGACCATGGATGAGGGATGCTCAGTTTAAAGAGTCATCAGTTTGGATAAAAGAGGCATCCCTTTTCTTCATTGCAGCTGCTCATGAATGAGAATACGCCTGTCTCAGTAAGCACCAAAGGCAGGAGGAGTGCAGATGCTGCAGGGATGGTGACAGGAGCGCCTAGAGCCCGGAGCTCCTTGGAACACAGCCAAACAACAAGTTTCCCCCAAGAAGAGATGACAGAGCAAGATTCTCAAACGCAAAATTCCCAACTTCCCTTCAGAGTTTACACATGAAAAGGAAAATTCCATGTGACTGACTAGTAAGGAAACAAATTTTGCTGCATAACTTTATCTGGTTTGTTGATGTCATCTAGGTAATTCTATCTGTTCCCCAAAAGGTTGCTGGAAACAAGGTTTCAGGTTAAAAGTTATTTCATCTCAGATGAAAAGCAGCCTGTTTACATTCCTAATGCTAGCAAAAACCTCAAGCTGGATGAGTTCTCTAAAAAGCTAAATCAACACTTCATCCCCAAAATAGTCTGCATGTGGACATTCTTTGTCTTTAAATTCATTTTTGGGGAAAGTAGTGGCAAATTGCACAGTTCTTGATTATCAGGGAGGTATGAGAATCAGAGTACTTGGTGGGGGGTGTAAAAAGGCAACACAAAATAACCACCAACCATAAAACTCAACCAATTTATATGAATGAAGACTGTCCATCCAAACATGAAAACATGCTCTGACTTCTATCAGTAAGAGAGGGAGAGAGAAAAAAAAAAAAAAGAACAAAAAGAGAAAACAAAGGTCTTATTTTGGTGCTGACGCCTAGATCTGCCACAGGACTTGCCACGCTGAGATGCAGCTGAACCTGAGTCTGTCACCACATCTTCTGGGCTAAGCCAGTGCACATGGCTGAACTCACTTGGAACAGGGGCTGATCACAGTTGGTGTGGGTGGGTAAACCAAGGCAACATTCACTCGTTCACTGCCGTTCTTGGGGCAAATGATCTCTGCTACTCCTTCTGGTCGGGGCTGACTCAGCAACTCCCCTGCAGGCAGAGAGAAAAAATGCATTAAGGAAATGTGATTTAAAAGTGGAAGCATTTTAGAGAGAAAGTCAGTGCTTAGGGGTTGGGGAAGGAGGGAGAAGGAAAGGTAGAGAGGACCTGAAAACAGTCAGAGGATAAATGTGCCATTGAGAATAAGAGAATTAGTTCTGTTCCCACAGCCTAAATAAATGCTCATCTGTGTCACCATGGAGAATGTTCTAATGCTTATGGGAGGCAGGAAATCGCTCCAGACAAAGACAGCATCTGTCCCTATTCTCCTCACCTTCCTTTTCATAGACTGACTATGGAGATCTTTATCTTGACGTTGAAAACTGAGCCAGGTTCCCTAGAGCCCCATGAGGTAAGGACTGCCAAGGAGGTGCTCCTAATTAGGATTCAAAAGCAGCTGGGAGTCAGGCGAGTTGGAGCAGACTTCAACAAAGCCCTGCATAAATGATTTGGTGTTAGCAAGGTAAAGAGCCTGAAAACAGCTCAGCTCTGTCCTGACCAAAGAGCATTTCCTAGGTTAGGTATGTGTGTACATTTTAAAGGGTCAATTCAATATTATTTTATGACTAATGAAACTTTGAAATATCAGAAAATTAATTTAATGGATTACCATAATAACATAAGGAAATCTGTGTATTCTGCACACACCAGATCTGTCCTCACCAATGAGATCATTAAACCCCGAGGAGCAGTAAGGACTTTCCTTTCTTAATCTCCTCCCCCTCGACCACCACCCCAGCTGGGACCCTGCTCTTTCCTAATGTTCCTGGCCTGCACCATGAGCTTGCTCAGCAAGGAGGCCATCATTAGCTTCTTATCTGATGATGGCACAGGCCATTGCCTAAATGCCCCTAATTATATCCAGAAAGTAAACAACTCAAATGAACACCATGAAACATATGTCAACTGGAAAAAATGCTCCTGAAATTAAAACTTCAACACCATAGGAGCCATCACTTCTACGACAGATTTAAAATGCTGTAGATTCAGAAAAACAAGCCAACATTTAATGATACAAAAATAGTCTTCCTCAAAATAACATGTTTCTACACAGTTCAGCATTAGCAGAACTCACACTGACAGATGATGTCCATAACCGAGCACTGAACTGAGCACATTAAATTGTACACTGTTGTTGCTCTGTACCCTCTACTGGGAACCAATCGATAGCTGACCCTCCGGCAGGTTTTCAAAGGCAGTTAATTGCACAGGGGAAGATTGCCCATCCTTCCTCAGAGCAGCTGGTAGATTTGAACCACACACCTTTGGGATTGCATTGTAAATTCTTACCACGAGGCCACCTTAAGAGCCTTCAAAATTAGAGCCACTCAATATGCACAGAGCAGTCAGAACATGAAATCTTTACACCATTTAAAAATCTTGATGTAAGCCTAGAATACATATTGAATTGTAAAGTTGCCTTTGTAACAGCAGTTACTCTAACCCTCATGCTGACCTAACCACATATCCTAAAAAGAGACAACCCTTTTCTACGAGATCAGCAGGTGCAAGATATCAAGATCTATTCCCAGACGGTATTTCCACTAAGAACAAGCAGAAGCAAAAGGTGATAGCTGACATCTCATGGGTCTTAATGCACATTATCAACAAATCTTTAAAATGGATCTCCAGGAACAGACGTATTTGTGAATGCAATTTTTATAACATGTTACATGAAAAGCCTGTCCTGCCACTGTCCTGTGGCCATCCTAATAAGCCAAAGAACAGGAGCTGAACAGAAGATTTCGAAGAGCTTCATGGGAAGAAAAAACAAAGTGTTAAAATTAAATGTGCAAAGAGCAGAAGTTAGAAAATAAAAAATGCTGAACTTCCTCGGCATTTCTTAAGCTGAAGGAATTGAAGAACAAATTTAAGCCTCGAGTTTCAATAGTTAAGGATGCTTTGGGCAGAATAGAAAATGATCCAGGAAGTATTAAAAGGAACTGGACGGAGCATACAGAGTCACTGTACCAAAATTAATTGGCTGACATAGAAGAATTTAATGAAAAAAGCATTATGAGCAAGAGCCTGTGGTGACGAACGTGAAAGTGCAATTTGCTCTGAAGAAATTGGCAAAAAAACCCAAAACCAAAACGAAAACAAAAAAACACACCACAAAAAACCCACAAGGTCTGGTGTTGTTGGCAGCTGCTGGGTTATCAGTAGCTGCCACATTGGCAGCAGCTACATTGTTAGCAGCCATGGATGGCTATTAACTAGATACTTTGTGAGGATCATTGCTGTTTGGCTGGACCACCTGGTACCCCTTGAGCTCAAGCAGAAGGGAACAGGACAGCTAGAGCTCATTTAAGGTGGCAGACTCAGTTTGTGAAGGGAAAACCAAGGATTCCTGGTTTTCCTTTCAAGTCTCCTTGCACGCACACCCTGCGTGTGTCTCCACACTCCACCCTGCATCTCCTCACATCCACTCAATTAACTGCTTTTAGCCCGGAGCACCTAGCTCTGGACTGGCCTAGCTGCAGCAATTATCTGAAAGAGGAGGGTGGGTGCTAACTCACAGGCCTTTTCTCTCCTGAACTGAAGCAAATCTTCCTTTGACTCAGAAGTTTAGAGAGAAACTCAGACACGGTAGCTGTCCCATCCTCCTCCAGAGCAATCACATCAGATCAAGAACCTGCTATTGTCTCAGGTGTGAAAAACTCTACCACAGCAATGCACTGTAAGAAGCAGCCTACCTCATACCCTACACAAGCCCAAAGCAAGTTGTCACCCCCAAAAGTGACATAGTATCAATAGCTTTCCTCAAGTCAGAAGTCTGATGGAATTTTCTGATAAAGAACTTAAAAGAACAATGATTGAATCTTTTCAATGTGTGAATGACAAAAGAAGAAAAAAAAAGAGGTATACAAATTGGGAAAAGGAGGTAAAATTATCTCTATATGCAGATGATACGATAGTATACTTAGAAAACCCTAAAGACTCAGCAAGAAAACTATTGGACATAGTTGACCAATTCAGCAAAGTAGTAGAATACAAGATCAACATTTAAAAAAAAAAAATCAATGGGATTTCTCTACAGTGAAAAAAAGAATACAGAACTGGACCTCAGAAAAACAATACCCTTCACAATAGCTAATTACAAGACTAAATAGTTGGGAGTAAATCTAACCAGAAACACTAAGGACCTATTCAAAGAAAATTAAAAAAACATTACTACAAGAGAAATGGAAGAACATACCTTGCTTTTGGATAGGAAGACTCAATATTGGGAAAATTACAATTCTACCAAAAGCAATGTACAGTTCAATGTAAATACCAATTCCATTCTTTAATGAGATGGAAAAGGCAACTTCCAATTTTATTTGCAATGGAAAAGAGACCCCAAATAAGCAAAACACTCCTGAAAAAGAGAAACAAGGTAGGCGGCATCTCACTCCCTGATTTCAAATCCTACTACACTACCATGGTGGTCAAGACAGTGTGGTACTGGTACAATGACAGGCATATATATCAATGGAAGATAATAAAGAACCCAGAAATCAGCCCATCTATGTATGGTCAACTGACTTTTGACAAGGAGATTAAATCACTTAAGTGGGGAAACAGCCCTTTTAACAAATGGTGTTGGAATAATTGGAAAACTATTTGCAGAAAACTCAAGAAGACCTACACCGCACATCATACACCAGTTCAAAGTGGACCAAGGACTTAGGACTAAAACCAAGGACTATAACCTTCATCAGAGAAAAGTTTGGAAGAACTCTAGAAGTTGTAATCCACAAAATGAACAGTATTTCAAGCATCCTGAAAACTCTACCACCAGAAGATAAAATAGATGAATGGGATCTTCTAAGAATCAAATTCCTGTGCACATCCAAAAACTTCAACAGGGTAGAAGGAAAGCCATAGACTGTGTATGTGTGTGTGGGGAAATCTATATATGGTAATGACATGATAAGGGATTTATATCTAGAATTTCTAGAATACTTTAGCACCACAACTTGATAAAGGTAAACAACTCAATCACAAAATGGGCACAGGATATAAACAGACACTTCAACAAAGAAAACATTCAGATGGTGAACAAACACTAGAAGAAGTGCTCAAAATCCCAAGCTCTAAGAGAGATGCAAATCAAAACAGCTATGAGTTATCATTTACCCCAGCAACAATAGCAAAGTCCAACAGAACAGCAAACAACAAATGCTGGAGAGGTTGTGAAGAAACTGAGACCCTTATTCACTGCTGGTGGGAGTGTAAAATGATGCAACTACTCTGGAAGGTGATATGGCAGTTTCTCAAAAAGTTGGAAATAGAAATAAATAGAAATCTGACCCAGAAATTCTGCTGCTGTGACTATATTTTAAAAATCCAGAGTTGCCACCCAAGCAGATATATACACACTCATGTTTACTGCTGCATTGTTCACAATAGCAAAGAGATCAAAACAACCCAAGTGTCCATGAACAAGTGAATGAATAGAGAAGCTGTGGTTTATTCACAAAATGTAAACACTGAAAAACACTGAAAAACAAGGAACTCATGAAATATTAAGCAAAATGGGTGACCCTGGAGGGCATTATGCTGAGTGAAATATCTCAGTCACAAAAGTGCAAATATTGCATAAAGCCACTGCTGGAAAACAGTAGTGACATGGGGGTTGGTGGAAAACTAAGAAAAGAGGGGATAAATAATGTACATGCATTGAAACAGATGAGGGAAAGAACTGTTTAAGAGGAATAAATGATCAGGTATTATTTGTATGACAACACTGGGTGGGCATGGGGAATTGTGTAATAATGAAAGAATTTTTTTTTCTTAAAAAAGTGAACTTGGGGAGCAGGAAGGAAAATGTGCAATAATGAATGAATGGAAATCCAAGTTATCTATAAACACTCATGAAAATCTCAATTAAACAAAACTCCAAATAATAAGAAACCAAGGCCCCAGGAATTGATAGCATACCAACTGATAAATGTCAAAAAACAGATGCTGCCCTAGATGTGCTCACCACGTTGTGCCAAGAAATC